GACTTATAACTAGCTTATAACTGACTTATAACTAGCTTATAACTAACGTATAACTAACGTATAACTCAGAGTGTAAAGTACAGTAATAAGTTTATCTGCTTATCTGAGGTCGGTGATGGGCAGCAGTCTGAGCAGGAAACCAGTCCTGCCGCTCCCCGCCCGCCTCCTCCAGCGTCTGGAGAAATACCAACGACTAGTTTTACTGATGAGTGACGATAGCGACTGTTAGTCATCTAGTCGCACACATTACTGCTACGAAGCTCGTTCAACCTTTGGTTTACAACTAAAGAAGCTTCGTGGAAGAGACGTGAAACAAAGTCGCTTCCTAGCCGAGCTCCTTCGACAGTAACAGTAACTGAGAGCAGCAAACTGAGGAATATACAGGGAAAGAAATCAAGAACCAGACACATGGCTTAGTGAGGAAGGAGAAAACTGAGGGTTTTAGAAAAACTCTCAAAATATAAAGACTTTGAGAAGAGCATCAGCGTAACACAGATGCTCCTTCTGGGCTCTGCTCACATACTGAGGAGAACCAGCCTCGTGGCAGCCTTATAATTTCCTTTGGGATTAATAAAGTTTTCTGATTCTGATGTTCAACAAGTACCTTGAACAGTAGTCGTGATTTGGCGCTAAATAACTAACATTGTATTGAATTAAACTGAGAAGGAATGGGTGATGAATACAACAGGAAGTTTGCCAGCGTCTCATTGCAGGGTCGTCTCACACATGTTCATAACGCCGTTTCAGAGGGCTGGTTCTCTGTGACGCCAGAGAGGATCGCTGAGCACATTGCCCTCAGGGTGGAGCACAGTTTTTTTGAGGCTCAGCTGGTCATAGACGCCTTCTGTGGTGTTGGAGGAAATGCCATCCAGTTTGCCCTCACTGGAAAGAGAGGTAAGTGTTTATAAGTTCATGAGGTGTATTTAGAAAAGCAACACGCTCACAGTCGGTCCTCTGCGTCATGTTTCAGTCTTAGCCGTTGACATCGATCCAGTGCGGCTGGACATGGCTCGGCACAACGCTGCAGTTTACAGTGTGGCCGATCGAATCGACTTCATACAAGGGGACTTCCTTCAGCTGGCCCCCCACCTCCACGCTGACGTGGTCTTCCTGTCGCCACCGTGGGGAGGACCTGACTACCTAACTGCTGAGGTGTTCGACATCAGGACCATGATGGAGCCTGATGGATATCCTTTGATCAGGAAGTAGAGGGATGTTAGTGACTGACAGCAGCGGTCTCCAACCTTTTTT